GTTTTTTTGTTTGTTTGAATAATAAAAAGATAAAATTACCTCCATAAGCATCTCCTAGAAACATTGGGGCTTGTCAACGTGCATTTGATAAATTCCTGTTTTTTGTGTGTTTTCTGTCAGTACTGGAGTTACTCTGGGTCTTCTTCCATGATTATTGTTGCAATCAGAAAGTGACGAAGCTTGACCAAGAGTTGGAATGGTTGTGGGTGGTTTTCCTCATTCTTTTCTCTGTCATGCACCCAATCTGTCTCATCAACCTGGGGTCGCATTTCTTCTTGCGTCCACATCTTAGATCCAGGCTACCATCAAATATGTCCATTCTGTTCTGACGTAAACTCATTTTTTCACGTTTTTATTGAGATAAAAATGTTGTATCCAGGAATTGTCTGTTGTTTCTTTCATGAAGTGAGTATTGTTGTATTGTTATCAACCAGCCAACAAGGAAAAATCTGTTTGTTTGATTATTTTAGGMGAGAGGAGGATTATGTATCTCAGTTTAACCCGTACCATTTTTCTTTATTTCAGACTACAGCGAACCCTACCAGCAGGAAGGTCATTTGTAGCCATGGACACCAAACACATCCCCCAAATACTGCAGCAGATCTTCACGTCCACAGTGCTCTCCAGTGCCTGATACCTGCAGGTGTTGGACATATCCTAACAGAGTCTAAAAGTCTTCATTCACTCTCTGTAGATCATATAAAAGCACTGGGTCTGAATAAACACAGAGAAGCCTTAGTGTATCAGGAAGCTGTGACAGTGTTGTGTTTGTGTAAAGTTTAGAAGCTTTGTAGTGTCCTTCAGAACACACACTGTACAACGTTGTCCAGTAATCTTGTGATCTTACTCAATGTGTGTGTAAAATGAGACACTGAAGGGATATCTGCCTGGAGTTCAGCTGCAGGAACATCAATGGGAAGTGAGATGAACTTGGAACAGACTGACTTCCTTTGGATTTCATTTCCATTTAATTTTCRCCACATAAAACAAACACAGGAAAACATGAACAGCTCAAACACTTTGATATGTTGAGTGACAACAATGAATAGTTCACACCTGACTGCACACGTTCTTTAAAGGTTATCTAACCATGTGTGTGTGTGTGTGTGTGTGTGTGTGTGTGTGTGTGTGTGTGTGTGTGTTGTTGTTGTTGTTGTTGTTGTAGAGCAGGGGTTCTCAAACCTTTTCGGTCTGGGGACCCCCTCATAAACCCCATGCTGTTTTAAAAGACAATTTGTCATTTCAACCCCTAAATTCCATGGGAATATGTGAGCCATCATATCGACAAGAGGATTAAGTCAAATTTGGTCAAAATGACCTAATTATGTTTTCAGATTATTGGCTTTAAAAGCTACATTTTGATACCTGGATCATCCTGATGTCATCAGCTTATCCAGAGATATGACTTCATTTG